ATAAATAAATAGAAAAAAGTTTTTAAGTTAACACTAAAACATTTTTATCTTTTCCACTTCTTCTTTATAATTCTTTATTATTTAGAAGAAAAGATAATAGTAGAAAGAAATGTTGGTGTATTTAACAGACGTCTCGGCTCGATATAAACCAGTTTCCAGTTCATTCAATTATTAAATATTCAGTAATTCAATGTTTAAGTTATATCTTAATGATGAACCACATTTAAATTAAGTTCCTTTAGATTGCCAAGACCGTGCTAAAGATTGCGCTCAATATATCAGCGGGTGCCATGACATGACAAGAGCAGGTGTTAATATACGCTTACGATGTCCGAAAACTTGTGGAAACTGTCTTTGCGCAGACGATGGTAAACATTGTTATGGTCTTCCGCTAGATGACTGCAGTGCACAGCCAATAATGAAACTGATATGCCCTCTTACTTGTGATACCTGCCGTTTACTAGACGCCTCAAGCTCCCTTAATGCACCAAGTACAGTTGTACGTTATGTTCGACAAGCTGTGCCCACCTCAGTCGAAAATGTTCAGACTGCACCTTCTGATACATTATTGAGGCCTGCAACTTCCACTGTAATACTACGCCCTGTAACTTCTCGTATGATATTCGCACCTGCAAATCCTCTAATAATACAAGCCCAGCCATCTGATGCAATCGGGAAGAGTACATACTCTAATGCAGGCTTATTCAGAAATGCAAAGCTCATTTCCGAAGCGCAGCGTAACGCCTTCAATATACAGAACAGAAATCCCAGTTTAGCAATGCAGAACCCGCTTTACAACCTGATGTTACAATAATTTATTTTTTTGAACTGGTGCAACTGATTAAAATAAAATGATAGCTTACTTGTTTACTTGGCCGACACACTGACAGGATAATGCTGCTACATATTGCTAGAAGACAGCTACCGCTTGAAAATGTAGACATTTTGATCCTTTAACAGTCTTGTTTTGATTAGAAATTGAGTTTTTGTTCTAACACACCAAACAATTTTCTTAAAATCACAGACTAAACTTCGACCTTCCATATTCTCCTTTTTCTCGCTATGCAAGAATTTAACAGTTTGTTTCTGTAAAAATAAACTTCTACAGGTCTGTCTAATATTCTTTCATTAAGCTTAACTGTTACCGGTGCTTCGTTTAAGCCACTGAATAATAAGAAAACAACAAAAACAGCAACAGCAAAAACAATAAATCGAAATATAGCAAGGAAAAAAGATGCCAAAGAAATGTTATATTTTGAAAGGGCAAGAAAAAAACCATACTGCGTTACGGCAACACAGAATGGCAAGAAGACAACACCAAATGAATTCGTTTGCTAACTATCTAACAGCTAAGTCAGTTTCTATTCCGTGAAAACAAATGCATGGTTTCCGCCTCATACGAGAGAAAAAGATTCAAAAAATTGACTATATATTTAGAAATTTTAAAACTGGTATTCGCCGGTGAAAAAATATTTTTGTTACAGTATTTTTTTTCAATAGCTTAAAAAATTTTAATTTTTTCAATAACAGACATACGAAGTGTTGCGACAACAAAAAACAGTATGTCAAATCCAAAAATGTAGATCACGTTCCAGCAATAGCTTCCAACTCCACAGATAACTAGCACTGCAATCATTATCAACTGAAAATTATAGCCCATATAAAAAGGCTTATTTTTATATTCTCTTTCTGCGTGTTTCCAGTTACTACTACAGATAAACACTGCCACTGACAAGCTGTAGATAATCGTCTAGAAAAGTCTAAATGTTTTGACAGATATTTGGTAATTCGTTGCAGTTGCTGACAGCAAAACATATCAAAATTTTCATTTCTAGTCTAATTTCTGACTTTAGATGTTGATATAAATACTCTGAGAAGTCGACGTTCTCATCACATCCTTGCAACAACAATATTAAAAATAAATATCAAACAATGGTTTGCTTTCCAACATCGCCTGCATTATTCGCACTAGTTTGCCTTTTACAATTCACTGTAAGCCAGTCCCTAATTTAACAGATTTACAGCAAAATTTTCTCAGTATTTCTTTATTTCTTAAAAATTTAAATTGAAGGTACATTTGGCACAACCAATTCAAAGAGAGCTTCGTAATAATCCATTAGATACTACAGGAACGAAGAGTACTCGGAGAAACAACGAAGTAACCAAGATTATCAGAAAAAGGTTACATTTTCGACCGATATGCTAAAAATTTCTACAAAACTGCAGGAGAAACATTTCTTTATCATTTCTAATGATCAGTCACTTAATCACACTTC